CCTATAATTAATATATATATATATATATATATATAGCTGTATGTGTGTCAAAATATATGGTTTTACCCCCTTTAAAACTTTCTTGTTTAATAACTAATAATAACAATTTGTAAAAATGTAAATGTTTGTTTGTTTGTTCAGTCTAACAACACATTATGGTTACAATAAAGAGGTCAGAGACTCTTACTGTTCATACATATTCATCCATAATTTTTAACTTTGTACCAGAGGGAAAGCAACTGGTCAGCATTCCCCACTACTCGAAGCAACTACTGTTTGCTCAATAGCAAGATTGACTGCCACTCTTGTAATACACTCATAGCTAAAAGTGCAAAGTGTGTTTAATAGCACCATGTCTTAAACCTGAAACCCTCAGATTCCCAGTCTGATTGATATGCTTCCCACAAGGATACTCTTAAGCCAAAAATTAAACTCTGTATGTTATTTTTGTAATACTAAACAAACCAAAGTAGGTATAGGAATAAAAAATAAAATGAAAATATGTGCTTGTGTTATCCCTGCAATTGTTAAAATAATTAATGTTGCATAATATGACCAACAAAAGTCTGAGTGAAAACAACAAAAATATATTTTTACACTTTCTGAAGTTTTTTACTTTGAAAAAGTACCAACATAAAGAATTAAACAGGAAGAATCCTAACAATAACTGAACACTAGAAAGGAGAAAAATATACACAAAGTGCTTACAAATATACATCCATAATTCTAAGTTAATCCACAAAAATATGTTTCAGAAAATATTAAAAAGAAAGAAGTCTACAAAGTATATAAAATTTTGACTTTGAGAAATATAAAACAATCACAATTACAAAATACAATTTCTTAATTTAACTTAAGAAAATACTAAATTTAACTTAATAAGTTAAAAATAGTGATCAAAGCACAAAAATACTAGGGTTAAGATAACCTGTTTGAAAAAATAGTACTAAAAATATTTTCTTGTAAAATACTAAAGAGAGTTGTGGAATAAGCTATAAATGAGTATAATTGATTCTTAAGCTGTTATTAATAATCTTCAGATATTTATGTAAGTAAACGATAAAAATGAAAAAAAAAAACAACGAATATATTATGCATCTGCTCCAACCAAGATCAAGAACATCAAAATGCTTCAAAAAACAGTTATTCTCATGAACATTTATTGAACAATATATCCTTCTAGATATGTCGAGGACAAAAGAATTACAAGCATATTTCAGCTCTTAATTATAAATGAATAATCTTAACAAAATCAGGGAGAGTGAATACCTGCAAATATGTGAATGTAAGACTCAAGTAGCCATACTAAAGGAATAATCCTTTTTTTAAGAGTTTACCTCTGGCAGAAATGTTCTTTTATGGGTAACCAGCATCTTAAACACATAATAGCTTCCAATAAATTGTTCAAATGAAGTTCACCATATGCCCTTATTTTCAAATGAAATAGTTTACACAATATTCAGGGACTCAATGGTGTTTCTTAAATGGGGAGAAACTGCCTGGCTATTCTACTTGAAAACATCAAACATTTCAAACTAACTTACATCAGGCTATGGAAAAATTGAAAACAGCATTGAAAACAGTATAAGATAGTCAAATTTGATTTTTAAGAAATATAAAATGTAAAAGCCAGCCTTTTTCCCCCTTAATAACTTCAGATACTTTTTTGTGAATGTTTTAGACTTAGAATTGGTGTAAAGAGACTATTTTGGCCCCAAGCACTGACACTAATAAATAATAATTTGAAATAATATAAAGTGTGAAATGGTAAGATAAGAACTAAATTTAACGGATGAAGTTCCTCATTTTTAACTTGGGGCATGAAATGTAAAAAAGGTAAGGATGTCAGTATCTTTTTACATTATAACAAAGCATTTAGATGGAGTCAGATTAATCTGATGTAATTAATTACTCGAGATAACTTATGAGGCACATGCATACATAGTGTTGTAGGTGAAGAACACGAATAACAAGCTATCTATTCTATTCTTGCAAATAAAACTGCACATTAGAAAGTATTTTCAAACAGGTTAATCTGGTATCATTAAAAATATTTTTTTAAAAGAAAAATTGTAACCTACCTTTTTTCTTCCCCTTCTTTTTCATCTTCATTTGCTATAAAAAAAAAAAGGTTACTTGAGCTATTCATGAAGTTTTTGTAATTGCTAGTTAAGTATTCGTGCATTAATTATTTGAAGTAAGTACTTCAGCATACTTGTGATTCTGAACAAGTTTACATTTTGCCATTTTTGGACTTACCCGTACAGATCTGAAGAAACATGGATGTAAAATAAGATTAATATCTCCTTTAAAAATATCTTTGAACTCTCAAGTTAATTAGGGTTAGATACATTTTGAAGTGACTCAGTCTTGTATATATTTTATTATCTACTGTTGTTTTTATATAATTGATGAAATTACAAATGTATTCAAACCAAAATACATTTGTCTTTATTATACAAGTATTGTATAAACCTTTCATTACACAGTAAAAAATATTGATAGTTGAAGAAATGCTTGACATCAAGAAAAATTACTATAATTCAAAAACCCAATTCCTTCTTTTTAACAATAGTAACTTTAATTTCATGCATATAAAAAGAAGATATTGAAAGAACATATGATATAAAGGTTTAGACGTTAAAAAAAAGTAAATTGTACGGATACCTTTTTTGCAAGTTTTTTCTTTTTCTTCATTGGCAAGTCCTGAAAATAAAATAAAAATTGGTATAATCATATGACACAGTGTTGCAAGTACGTTGACATGTTAAAGCAACATTAATCATAACTAAAAAGTCTATCATTATAAAGTTGCTGAGCTCCCATACATGGTACACCAGGATAGTCCACTCTGATTAAAGCTATACTAAAAAAATTATTTAAAAAAGCAAAACAACTAAGTCAGTGAGAATCTGACATAAAACATTTCAATATATGGCTATATTATTTTAACAGATGTATTTTTCAACATTCAAAATGCCATACAATTTCACCTAATGGACTGCAATTGACATTTTTTCTAATCAATTCAAGAATTTTCATCTACTGTATTTGTTAGTGTCTAAATATATGATTCAGATATGTACTGCAACTTCAAGTACTGTTACAACACTGGCAGACCACAATTTCCTTCTAAAATATATTAGATTTGACACATCTTGGCATTCTTTCTACACTGACCACATTAATGTTACACTAGAATAACACAACTTTCTTCTAAAATGTACTACTGAGATCTGACACATCTTGACATTCTTTCTACACTGAACACAGTACTGTAACACTAGAATAACACAACTTTATTCTAAAATGTACTACTGAGATCTGACACATCTTGGCATTCTTTCTACACTGAACACAGTACTGTAACACTAGAACAACACAACTTTCTTCTGAAATGTACTACTGAGATCTGACACATCTTGACATTCTTTCTACACTGAACACACTACTGTAACACTAGAATAACACAACTTTCTTCTGAAATGTACTACTGAGATCTGACACATCTTGACATTCTTTCTACACTGAACACAGTACTGTAACACTAGAACAACACAACTTTCTTCTGAAATGTACTACTGAGATATTTTGACATTCTTTCTACACTGATAACAGTACTTTTAAGACAGTGACATAACACAGTTTCCTTCTAAAACAGATAACTTGATCTGCCACACATCTTGATATTCTTTATACAATGTTACACTAGATTAGCACAACTTTCGTCTGAAATGTATTACTTACACCTATGACATCTTTATGATCTTACCAAACTGAAAACCTCCCTGCTACTACAATGAAAAACCCCAAAATTCCTTGTGTAAGACACTCTGGTATTCTTATATTAAGAACAGGTTTGCAACTATAGTGAGATATCACAATTATTTCCAGAATTAAATACCTACATCAATTGCTTCTGCATCAAGTGCTGAGATGTCTTCAAATGTAGTTAAATGGTCTAAGTCATACATTCCATTCAACTTCTTTCTGGCATTCTGTGATAAGTGATAATTCTACTTTAAAACAAACCTTTTGAAATAATTTATCAAAGTTTTTTTTCCCTATTAATCTAAATAATGCATAAGAGAATCCTAATTTCCCAGTTTCAGAAACAAATGAACTGAGAATTTTCTATATGCAATTTCAAACACAATTTGAGCTTACACGTAGACTGTTATTTAAATACAATAAGATGACTGGTAAAGGTGGACAATATGTATTAATTACGTTACTGAAAGGTACTAGTATCCACACACACGTATATTTAAAAAATAATAATAATAACCTAAACAAGTACACCTGACAAAGATAATAGGCATTGTGAACAACAACTTCAAATACTATTCCAATTTTACTATACCTAAAACCATTCATTTCCATAACCCCAACAGTTTTTAAGCATGATATGCTTTAACTGGTAACATAGTTATAATACACAGTAATTCTGTATGCAGCTAAAGTAAAGAGAAGTTGTAAACTTGAGCAACTCTCTGCATTGAAATTGACAACAGAAACTTCAAAAAGTATAATAGTAACTAAGGGGGTAGCAAGCACACGGTAACATGCTCTATCATAACTGTAATAATGTGGCAAGGCTACAAAACAATCATTTTAATGTAATGTACCCAATCTCTGTATACCTTCCTAGAAAAAAAAATTGCAAAATATATTTAGTCTTTTCTTTATATTATTTTGACAATGCTTACCACTAAACCTGTGTGGATGTAGTGTGCTAAATGCATTTTATGTAATTGTTCTGTAAACTAAAAACTGCTCCTTTGAAAACAAAAAAAAACTGTTCTTAATTAGCTTTAACTGTAGAGATGCAAATATTCCCTCTCTCTCTCACTGAGATCTTGTATTACCTCATATCTTTAGTTTTTATTTTTTTAGTGTATGAATGAAAGAAGAAATAAGCAGATACAAAAGGGATATGTCAACATTTAGTGAATAATTATGTAAGAGACAGAAGTGTAAATAACCTTTGTATCAATCCGCGTGAGCCCAGTTTTACATTTTCACCGAGACAGAAACAATGAAATGAGACAAATATACCCCATCAGTTTATTTCAAGCATTTAAAGAGTTTATTCATAATTTCAACATAACACATTCAAAATGCAATAAGTTATGTACAAAAACATCAAGAATTTGTATTATAAGGAAAATCATTTACATATTTAAATCTAGATTATTGCAATTTCAATTCTTGTATAATGAAAATAAAGTATTTTAAATTATAATTCAACAAGAAAAAAAAAGCAACTAATGATCATAACAATACGTAAACTATAGTGCTTTTTTCAACAGTTCTTATAAAATATTATAATAATAATATTAAAAATTCTCTGGAACTAATTTTTTAATTGATATAAAAATGACTCACTGCATTTATACTAATAAATAACTAACATTTATACTTTGTATTCTTATTAATAGCTATTGTTAAATTTTTTTATTTATATAGTAACAGCATAACTTCCTACCTTTTCCTTTTTAGTGACTGTCAGTCGTGTCATGTATTCTTCCTCATAGCTAAAATTGAAACAAAATCATCATGGCACAGTTTCTACTAATGTCTATGTACTTATTAGTTTCATACAATAACAATCATAACAATGAAAAAGAATCAATGATTACTTATACCATATTAGAAATCAAGCTCTTTGGAAAAATGAAAAAAAAACACTTTATTGCACGAATAAGTAATGAAAAATATTTTTTTAACACCATTAATACATAACTCTGTTTACAAGTTCAAGACAGAGCACTAACAAATGACATTTGCCAAGTTATAAGCACAATATCATTGAATGATAAATCTATGGCAACCCCAGGCAGACCACAGAACACCTTTCAGATGTTTAGTGCACACCCCTGTAACAAATTTCAAAACTTAAGCACAAATAATAATTCTAATACTATTTCATCACAATTTAGCTCAAAATATTTTATAATTGATATTTTGTAATTTTTGAAAAAAAAAAGAAAATAATTTGCCAACTTTCATTTTTGATCAGCCCAAAGAGTCTTTTACGTCAACAATGCACTTATTGATAATTTGTTTAGTACTTTTCTGTCTGTTTCAAAACATGTTTACATTTGCTAAGAAATTATAATCCATTGAGAATATAATTATCCATGCCTTTTTCTGATGTCTTTAGGATTATTATTGAAGTACAGCTTTGAAAATATCTACAGACAATGTGTAAGCATGACTGGATAGAGCAAGATTATAAACCATTTATATCAATGTAGTTAATAAGTAACAAGTACATTAATTTATAATTTTGTAAGAAAGTAACTACCTACATTCTTGTATGGACAAACAAAGAAATCTAATGGGAAAACTTAGGAAGAAACCATAGTTCTAGTAAATTTTTTATAGTTTCCACATTAAGTTATATCTGTTTGAAACATATACAACTTTTCTTCTATGACAAAACAACAGCTGAGCTCAGTTGGTAGAGTACACTAAGCAAAGGCAAAATATTCTAATGAATCAAATAAATTATATTTAAATATTTTTATTAAGCTTATCATATTCAAACAATGCAAATAAATAAACAATTTTATTATTTACTGAAAAGAAACCATATTTATTAGATATAAGTTAATTTTTACGAAAAATGTTATTACTAAAAACTGTTACCTAGACTGACAAAGGTAACAGCAATGCCAATTTGAAAAGTATGGTCCTGGTTCACTGATAAATCTTGGCAGTTTTTGCTGTTCTTTTATGATTTATAGCAAAAAGTAATAACTACTGCACTTGGAAAAAGAAAGTATCAAAATAAAAATATGTATGTATGTGTATGTATATATGAATATCAATCAATTTCAAACTGACTGGATATTTACAATAGAACATTCTGATCAACAACAAAAATTTGAAATTGAAAGACAAGAAAGAAGTATTTAATGTTTAATTCAAAACAATGTCTCATAACAGAATTTTGTAAATTTCACAACCCAAAGAATGACAAAAAATTAAATATTAAAAACTGCATGATTTTTTTTAAAACTGAAATTAAATGAACTTTTAACAACGCTTCAGTCATGAGTGACTGCCTGATGCACGTCTTTGACCAAAACCTTGGTGCATATAAAATTCAGTTTTATTTTGCTTGAGAAATAAGGGCATTCCATATCTGACTTTAACTTCTTTATTTTGTTTTATTTGAACATTTGATTGTTAACCGTTTCTAGTTTCATCTTTATTTTTAGAATTGTTTAATTAGTTTCACTTCAGAAACCACTGTAATAGCCAATGGTATGATCCACAACTTGTGTCCCACTTTTGACATTTTATTTCACTATGATAGTGATATACTCCCACAACATTTTCTAATTTCTGTTGTTACATTTTCGGAGTAATAATAATTAAAAATCTTCAACTTAAGCATGCTTAAAAATGGCTATCTGCGCTTGGTCTGAAAGTGCTAGAGAATGCAGAAGTTATCAATCCATGAAGAGCAAATTTTTTTTCCTCAACTATGTATTATTAGAATGCTTGTTTATTATTCTAAATATGAGTTGTGAGTAAGAAAAGGAGCTTGTAACTTTTTTTGTGATTTTGTTTCAAACTGAATGATTAATAATATGTCAAAACTTTTAAAATTAACATTTGTCTCTTTGTTACAAATACTGATATAATAGATAAACTTAATTTAAAATGTTACCTTTCATTTTACACCACAACAGCCTATTCACGTATTTAACGGTAATCTAACAATCTTAGTAGTATGTCCTCATTTCCAAATCCCATTTTTACAAAACTCAGGAGAGGTTTCAGAAATTATGATACTGTTTTCATTCATTTTTAATGAGTATTATTTCATACAATGACCACAGAAAAAATATAAATATCTCTGAGATCACAAAGTAGTGACCATTTCCCCTCAAAATTGCACCACTTCTCTAGGAAATGCAGAGAGCCTAGTTATGCTAATTCAATAGTATAAGCATTTAAGCAGCAAATATTGGTGTCATTGACTAATAAAGTATGAAGAAAAATATACAGAAACTGGACTTCATACTGTTTTTTTTTAATTTTGAAATAATTACAGTTTTCTTTACTCCTTTCACTTAATATGAAATCTCTGATAAAAGTCAAATTAACAACCACATTTTGTAGTAGTATCACAATTTGATTATTATTATATTTAAGTAATATATATAAAAATAAGACAACTGAAAATACTGTATATCAATACAATTATTTTTTCTTCCAAAACTGGCAATTCTGTCTCATAGCTTTGTACTCTTGAAAAACACCCAAAAACTTCAGAAGTCCAAAGTTTGTAAACTTGTGTGTATATATGATAAAATCAACCAAAGGCCATCTAAAAAACACAACTCCATCTCTTGGTCAGTCACAAATGGCACATTAGGAAACTTTTGTTTCAGAAATTTGTGCAATGTTACACAAGACATAATAGTGTTAGCTGTTCCTAATTTTCAACTGATAAACTACAGGAAAGACAGCTAGTCATCAGAACAAAATACAAGCTCTTAGGCTACTATACTCGAACAGGGGGATTTAACCATCACTTTTATTACACACCCATGGAGCCAAACTGCAGATCACAATTATTTTAGAAACAAAACACAAACCATGGACCCTTAGATTAATAGCATAGCAAGCTAACCCAGCCCTTGGAACCTGTACCCAAATAGTTTATCTATACTGTACTACATTCATGTTGTTTGTTTACCTCGGAAATCTTAATACTGTATGGCTGTAATGATTCTACTTGTTAGTCATGCTTAAATTTTTTGTGGGTTATAAAGTTATTTTAATCTTATGGATTTCGTCATCTTTTTGATGATGTAATTTGTTTAAATAATTTTGTATTATTATATATAATTGAAGCCTTTTGTGCCTCGCAACTTGAAGACAGAAATAAATAAAGAAGCTGATACAAGTTGTTTTTTGTTTAACCGTTCAAATTCATGTGAAGTTAAAAGCAGTTAGCTACCCATTAACACTGCAAAAATAATTGGGTATATTTTAATAAATTTAAAAAGGGAGACAAATTCCAAATTTCCATTTACTCCCATATTAAAAAAAAGCCATGTTTTCCTTTGAATTTTTTAACATAAACTTATTAATACAAGAATATAAAAATTATTATGTTATCATCACAATAATAATCTGCAGCAGTTCAGAATTTAATTTGCTACTTAAGTTATCATCATATGCCAAATTTTAAAAATCAAAGAAAACTTACTTGATTTTTTCTTTGATATGCTTGGCTGCTGTTTCTTTCTGAAAATCAACCGATTCCTGAAAAGTAAAACAAAATAAACACAGCAAAATTTATGAATGCTATTCCTTTAAAGTACATAAGCCTTAAGGATACTACCATAAGTTTAATATTATTCACATTTAAGCTACTTGATAAAAGAATATCAGAGCAAAAGTTCCATAATTTTCCATACCTCTTGTACCAAAATTTAAGCAATCTCTTTACAATAAGTAAAAACCAATCTCTGAAAATGTAGGTGCTATGATTATAGTTAAACTTTTTTTAGAGTGTTTCAATAAACCTAATAACTTGAAGACTTGAAGGCTGTCACAAGGTATACCTTTATTCTTCAGAAAAATGAAGGCTTATCTTTTAGAAATGCACAAACTATCAGTTTGTTTTGCAGTATATCTATTTTTATAATGTTGCTTCTTAGTATAATGATAGTTGTTGTATATACTCGTGTAATAGCCCAATTTCTTAGGCTATAATTTAGGGATTGACTTTTACATGAATAATACTTGTTTGTATGGAATTCGCGCAAAGCTACATGACGGCTATCTGTGCTAGCTGTCCCTAATTTAGCAGTGTAAGACCAGAGGGAAGGCAGCTAGTGATCATCACCCACCGCCAACTCTTGGACTGCTCTCTTACCAAGGAATAGTGGGATTGACCACAACATTATAATGCCTCCATGGCTGAAAGGGCCAGCATGTTTGGTGCGACGGGGAATCAAACCCGCAACCCACAGGCTGCGAGTCGAGCACCCTAACCACCTGGCCATGCGGGCCGGAGTAATACTTTCGAGAAGTTGAAATGCATGCTCAGTAAAAGTCCACAAAACATGAAAAAAAAAACCAATTAATATGAAAGACAATACACAACAAAAAAGCAATTTTAATTTTTTATTTACCCAAAAAGGTAAACATGAAAACCAACATATCTTAATAATAGAATAATCATTTTTTTTCAGATAAACATGTTACATATCTATCTACCAGTAATACTAGCACCCTTGGAGTACATTAATTTATTTAAAATTTCAATATTTTGATTTTATGGTTGCAATATTATGGTCAATGTTAGTAGAGTTAAGTGTTTCCATTTGTTCTCACAAGCTTTCAGTATAAAGTGTGACCTGGCCTGGGGTGAGCATTTGCTCTCTTGCGTTGCCAGAAAAAGTAGGTTGACTTTTACATGAGATATACATGATGCCATTAGGAAGGGGGAAGGAATTTATACCATGCACATTGGAAAAAAATAATAGCATGGGCACAAACCATCTACAACGAAACTACACACTTGAAAATAATAAAACATACAAACCTTTATCTCTTCTGGTGCTTCACTGTATTCCTTTCTAAGCTCTTGCATAATGCTAGTACTTAGTACTCGCTTTCTTGCTCGCTCCAGTATTCTTTGTTGTCGATCATGTTCAGTCTCATCCCCTTCTGAGTGATGAGAATATCAATTCATTTTAAAACTTTTATAACATACTTTATTACCATGGTAAAGGTGATGAAAATACAGAAAGGCAAATCCAAACACAATAACAGTGCAGAATAATGTTTGTTTGTTTTTCAAATTAAATAAAATATATTATGCTACATTAGAATTTGTACAGAGCATGCTTGATTGACAATTATACACCAATACGCATCTAATAAATACAATTTATAGATATTCTTAAGCCAACTTAATCATCCAATTTATTTTGTTTAATAACTGCAGCTCTTCATCTTTTTTTCTTGAATTACTGAATGGAACTAAAATGACTGTTAACTTCCAAGTGTTTTGGTATTTATCTGACATTTTGAACAGTGCATTTGTTATGTTTTCTTTATCAGTATGGCTTCTTACACTGTGGTAAATAATTAAAGAATATTACTACTACAAAACAAATGATTCTGAACTAACCATAATGTACAGCAGATAGTTTTGGTGGGACATATATGTTGGACTTCTCTTCCTTCTCTTCATCAGAAACTGATTCATCTTCATCTTCAGCTAACTTAAAATGCAATAAAAGTAAATGTGAAAAATTAAAGGGCACAAACAAATCTTATTATTTACAACCGTTGAGATATGTTTATACTTTATAAACAAACACAAAGCATTGTCTTATAAACACTGAACATTTAAAATTAGCAACTATTGAAGTACATGTAAAAACAAATATCACAAAGTTGAAAAAATAAGAACCAAAATGAATAGCCAAGAAAATATGTTTACATAATCCCTTCCTTTCATGAAATTTCCTTGAAATACTGGTTAAAGGGGTTGATGCTAACTATGAATACAGTCTTAAGATCTTTTCATACTTAGGTTTGACTGTAAAATTCTTGTTGGAGTCTAATAAAATTCTGGTAACAAAAGTTTGAGCACCCTAAGTTTCAACGAGTATAAGTTAAAAGAGAATATTTCAGAAAATAGTCATACATAGTTTAAAAACATATTTTCAAAATATATTTTAAGCTAGACCATATTTTTTTGAAAGTAAACTGTCAATCAGACAACAGTTGTTTATGTAAGAATGTATGTATTTGTGTATCAAAATTGAAAAGAAAAAACAAAAATAATGAAATTATTTATTGAAAACTAAGTAATTCCTACAACCAATCTGATTAGAATTATATAAATGTAAATGAGAAAAGTCAAAGTCCCACCAGTGATGTGTGTAACTTGATAAAAAAAAAAGAGAAAAAAATATCATAAAATCCAACCAAATGTTACTGAAGGTAGATCAGATATGACACAAACAACTTAACAGGCCCTTGTGAATAAAAGCCAAGTTATCAACAACTATGATTGGAGGCCTTACGAAGTTTCTTGGATCATACTTACATAAAACCAGTGCTCTTATTTCACAGATGCCATTTCACTGGCATTCACAAGTACCTGTAAATGCTATTTTGCAAATGCTTTTTACAGCCTCCATTAATAAATGATATGACACCAATATTTGTGCATGCTACAGGAGAAATTTAGAAAGAGTGAAGAGCAATACAATGCTTCACATTTATTGGAAATAACCTTGTCATTTCATAGATTGTTGTTTTTTGACAGCACAGTAACTATAACCCCCAGTGATCCTGTTGCTAAGTTTATGCACAAAGCTTTGTTTGGCTCTCAATCACCCTCGATTGGCATATTGATCTGACATACATGAACTACATTTTTGTCTGTGGCATCATATAATTCATTATAAACATTATATTGAAATTATTCTTAAAAATGTATTGATAATTTATCAATATAAAATAAAAGATGTATTAACTAAAATTTTTAAAATGTATCTTAAAAACTTTAACCATAACACAGATGTATCACCTTCTGTTTTGTGGTAGTGGCAATATTTCTATTCAATATTTCAGTGTTCAAGTCAAATTGCCTAAAAACTACAACTGGTAAACAAAAACAAATGATAAAAAACCTCATGGACCATTTAAGAGGGTCTGTTTACAGCCCCAGTGCATTTTTCAAACACAAAGCACTGATAAAACATGCAATTGAATCCCAACTGAGATTTAATTAACACAACAAGACAAAACAAAAATCTGAAGTACCAAGCACAAAGTAAAGTTTAAAGAAATAGTAGAGATATATCAGAAAATTACAGCTGAAACACAAAAGTGTAAAAAAATTATTTAAAACTTACTTTGCTTATTAAACTATCTGGATTAGCTTTGAACTTCAAAGGGTCATCAGGATCTAAGGAAAATAGCAAAAAACTAAATAAATAGTTCTTTCGTAAATTTGAAATACAAAATAAAGTATTAAAGTCACAATTACATTGTATTATAGGCCTACTAGCATCAGTAAGAACAACGTAAAAACATTACAATATCATTGTTAAGTATTGAATAAAAGCTACTGAAACAATAGAAAAACTGATTTTATGACCTTCATAATGTGGTTATTTAGTTAAAAACAGATCAATTTATCAAATTATTACATATTTAATTTTTGTTGAAATGAAACTACAAACTCAAATTAACTAATGCCCTATATTAAAAAAATGCCAAAATAAGTTAATATTTTTCAAAAAGAATTAATGAGTATATTTATCCCTTGGTTTATGACAAGGCCATAATTACTGGAAATTAATGAATTTCTGCATTCCTGCATTTTTATTCCAAATTGCTCTACATTTGTCAAAAGGCTCACCAGCTGTGAAAAATTCAAAAACAAAATGTTGTGATATAATTGCCTAAAAGTTTTTACTTTGGCAATTTAAGCATTTATTTTTACTTTTATCTAATGTTTAAATGGTATGAATTATGATTAAGTAAAAATACGTAGGAAAATTTCCATAATATTTTTTCTAACATGTTCTGTTAATTGTTTTGATCTTACAACATTTAACATATATGTATATCTACAGAGTATATTGTATACTAAAATGTTTTGTAACATTTTCATACAATCCACACTAAGGAAAATAGATGTGTTGAACATTACCATTTAGCTCTAAAAATACCAATGACAGACCACATTAGCTTTTCAGCAGAGTCATAGTGGCTCACAGAATGGCTTTGAGTTTTTTCAAGTACAAACTTTTAGCTCATAAACCAATATCAGATCTAATTACAGCCACAGCTATTGAGGATTCCCTCTTGTTAATAAATTTTTCTAACCTATACATTTACTAAAGTATTTGCAAGTCCGTAAATTTGTTGATTACAGAATCACTAATAACATACAAGTTGAATGAAATAATGTAAACAAATGTATCATCAGTATTGCAATAATTGCCGTAATTAATTCTGTGGGTTCCCAATCAATTTTACATAGAAAATAAGTGACTTTGCCTAACATGTTTTGGTCAGTTCTTTAAAGTGAGTGTTGTAATATGCAAGAATATAATCTTACTCAAAATTATTAATACGTGGATTCCACCAACAGTGAACAATATATCAAGTCGGTAAATTATGGCTTTAATTTCATTATGTATTAATTTACAAGTAGCTAATATGTTTATCCAGAACTTTTGAAATTGACATTTTATCATATCCAAAATTATTCAGATTCCATAAGCCAGAAACACTATAAACCTTGCTTATAAATGACAATTTACATCCATAGGGAAAAAAAAAGCAAATGGTTTAAGGATCATGATTTGTTAAAAAGTTGGTTACTGAAGAGTGAGGGTCAGAATGTTGAATGAGCAGATTAACATGTGTAGTGTTATATGTAATTTTGACAGCTGTAATTGAATTATATATGAAAAAGATGTTTATAACTTTGAGAATAAAAAGATGGGTCTCCATAAAGGCCATTTGTAGCCCTAAAATCCACTTTACAATAAAGTACTCAGAATAAAAAAGTAAGAGGTGTTTTTGGTAGTCCTGGTGCCACCCTACCTCCCAGCAAATCAATATGAAGATTTGGGAAATTTATTTATCAATATGGGGTTTATATTGTGGATATTGTACCAACGTCCACCAAAAAATCAATCATTCCTACACAAATGTCCTCAATTTTAACAATGAGCACCAAAACATTCCACCATAATACTTGCACAATATGTGTAATGGGTCAAAAGGCATATCATAAATGTTACTTACACATGCTCATAGCATAAGGACAATAAATATATCGTAACTGTGACATCATGTATCCTCTGAGATTCATAATACCGTGAAATCTAATATTCATATTCTTTGCATTTCAAGATGAACCAGCAGACATGCCTGAATATGGAGAATGCAACAACACATCACTGACACAGCAGGGTGGATCAGTAGTTATAATGACAAAGTTCTAGTGACAGAATAAATGAACACTGTGGATTTGGGCATTTCATATATCTGTGTATTCTTTCACATCCATGCTTTGTGCTCGCTACAGTTGTGTTTTCTTTGGGTCACAGGAATAACTGTGATTTCATGTAGGTGTTTCTTCCTCAGTACCTCCATTAATAGCCACCTGATAAGCTGTGCTTAACGTGGGGAAAAGGAGGAAGCAGGATGGTATGTAAAATTTTTGAAATACTATAATTCTTGTTTTATATGTGTATTCTTTAGTTGTTGTTACAAAAGTAACTGAATGTCAAGAATTAGAAACTTATTAGATTAGATAAGGTTAGATTAGGTACAATAATGAAAAAATAATAATAATTCTTCACAGGTATACTTACAAGCAGCTCATGTGTTACATAATTCAACACAGTAATATGAGCTGCACATTTGCTGAGTGTTTTACAACTTGTGTGGCAGAATTATTAGTTAGACACAGTTCAAAGGGCAAAAAACAATAAAATTAACTATAAATATATATATATTTTCACAATTTATAGTATGAAACCTCTGATGGTTACTTTGTTGTTATGAACTCAGTCACACCAACCAAGCCCATAGTGTGAGAGGGTTCATTCCATTTCATATACCATCTGTGTACTACTACGTCTCATTCCTGCCTCATTCTTACATGAAATTTTACGAAAAAATATGGTTTCTTTCTCCAATTCCTATGGTGGATGCAAGATCGGTCAAATCTACCAAACCTGTACAGAGATTAATTACTGAAAATAACAGATATAATATAAAGTTTTTTTCTTAAGAAACATTTGACAACAATCTGGACATTATAAAGATTTCGTATGTGAAATTTGAAAATTTTCTGATGCATAAAAGTATTTTTAATCTTAAAATGAATATTACTTGGCATGATAGATAGGCAACATGCGAAAAGAAAAAAAAAGACATGAGAGAAACATTGCTTT